CCGCCATTCCACACTTTCCACGTAATCCAACTTTTACACCCCTCTCGACCTGTACGTCTTCGAGCGAGAAAAAAAGACCTGTGCGCGACAACCACCCTCGAACGAGCTACGTACACGTATCGAACGAACAATTTTATAGAAACGTTACGGCCCTGTTGTTGTCCCTCTAACAAGGGACATCGTTCGAGCGACACGCGTCGATCTTCGTGCAATTTTAGTACGATACGGTACTCGAACACGTACTTGATCATCCATTCTGAAACGCTGAAATTCCGTTCAAATTCCTACAAATATTCGACAACGTTGTCTTCCTCCTCGTTCCTGTTACGCTGCACTTTTCTTACATTGCCATGAACGAGACTATAACATGGAAATATACCAGCCCGCCTTTGTCCAATCAAGTTATCCTGTCAAGAATAAATATTCGATCTTATCGATCGTACTCGATCGCTATAACATTTATACGTATTGTAAAGGTATATTTGCTCTCCGAGAAAGCAACGTTTTCTCGATGCGTTTGACGGTGACCCGATTTCACTCGACATCGCTTCAAATTAATGCGGTCAAACAGACACGAAGTTACGTGTACAATTATTGCAAAGACTGAGAGTAACCGGCGAGGGAATCGGATGACACGTGTTTCGCTCGACTACGCGTTGCAACTTCGGAAACTGGATAGCTTCGCGTTTAATTTAACGAAAGTACGTCGTGAGGAATCGCTGAAGCCACTTTGAGCCGTGCTTCCAACGCAGCGTGTCTGAAGAATAGCGACACTTTGGATACAGTTAACGTAAAGGTGTTAGTCTGTCGGTCGAATAGTTTCGTATCTAACCAAGTCCTTTGGTCTTGTTTCGAGATACTACATTTCGTGTTTATTCCTTTCCGTCTCTAGACGGAATGTCTAAAAACTTATAATTTAAGCTATCGGTTTTACGATATGTATATAACGTTTACGTTTATGTCGTACTCCATATACTCCGAGTATTCAAGTGTTTAAAATGAACCAGAAATTTGGTTCGATAGCATTGCCAGAATATGTATATGTCTCGACAAAAATATAATAAATTATTTAACGTCGGCATCGAGATTGATAACATTCTCGAACGGTGGACATGATCGAATACGAGTTCTCTTTTGAAAAGAGTCGCTTTCCCGAAATCGAATAAACGCGACAACCATCATAGATGTTGATTTATCGAGTGATGGACGAAAGCAAACGTTCCTCGGTTTCCGGCTATCGGAGGATCGTTTGTGGTCGACCTCTTCCGGGCTCAATATCGATAACGAACATACGGGAAAGCCTTGCATCGAAAACGACCGAAAAAGGTTTCAGATAAGACGCATGATATTCAAAAAAAAAACTGACGTCGTTGTTACGCGACGAGACTGCTTTTAGGTAAACCTTCGAGAGGGGAAGAAAACGATCTTGAAGACTTGGCCGACTACGCGATAGAAAAGCCAATACACGTTTCTTTCCATTAATCTCCATCGTCCACGGCTCGAAAACGGTACTGTTCTTCACCTTGCGCTCAAAATCAATACCACCTTGCATCGCGTTTCCATCATTAACATTTCGCAACATACTTATTTTACTAAATCAAATCCAGGTGAATTCGAATGACGCACTGGCCATAATTGGAGAGGCAATCGCGTCAAAAGTCATTAACATTTTCCCACTTTATGGACGTTAGTTTTATTTCTCTGACATTTATTATATTTCACTTTATAGCTCCATCGTACGACTATCGAGGCGTGGTTTAATTATGGTTCACCCTAGGCAGTAAAATTATTGCCCTGGAGAAATCGAATTTGCTCAGACATGTATTACGTTGTTTTCAGCCATCTCTAACTAGATTTTCTCTAAAATTTCATTAAACAGTGTTTTTTTATTATTAACGAGTTTGATCTACTATTTTCGCGATATTTCAATGCATCTGTTATTTATTTATTCAAATATTTATATGTTGATTCGTCAAATATTCCCTCACAATATGAAGTTCTACTTTATTATAAAACATTTCGTTATAGGTATAAAAAAGCTGACAGTTTCTATATTAATACAAGATTTAATATTTTCGTCTCGCACTTTGATATACAGCTGTCGATTAACTCGAACATCTGTCTTTGCTGACGTTCACTTAATCGTGTAACCAGAAATTCGAAAATAGAAAATCAAATTACGAGGTACCCATGCACTGTGCCCGAGAATCGACTTAAATAATTCTACCACCCAGTAATTGTTTGTTTTATCCATTAAAATAACCTAAAATTACTGAAAATTATAAGTGGTTATATCGAAATCGTCGAAGAAAATTTGAAAAAGAATTAAAAAAAGAATGTTAAAATTTAAAAATTGTTTTAAATGACACGTATATGCGATAAGATATATCGTGCATTATTAGTTTGAAAAAAAAATGTAACGTCCTAAATCTAATTTTCAATTGAACACAATGCCGTATCGGAGCACACTGTTCGTTCTTATTGCACGGTCACCGGGCTTGTTACGTTAACGAAATGTGTGTTTGCTCGTTTGCCGACGAGAAAGCAACGATAACAAGAGCGCTTTGAAACGATTCTCGGTTAATGTCGCGACGTTAGGTTCGTCGACACCTTTCGGGTACACCGTGTACCTCTGCGTGCGCATACAAATATTTTATGCACGCGTACAGAACCTTGGACCGTCCGAAAATTCGATGCCATCCCGATGTCGCGAACAAAATCGAAATGCAACGTTAATTGTATGCACGATTTCTAATTCCGTTTAAAAAATATTTCCTATTCAAATTTTCGACGGCGGAATCATGAAAACGCGTCACGCGTCCAATGAATGAAAACTCGTTGGCATGCTCCATTCTTAAAAGCGATCCTCGTGTCGCTGCAAAATCAACCATTCCAAATAGAGTTCCTGGAAAATATTTTTCGCGTATATACCTTCTTTTTGAAAATGTGCTAATTTTATTTTACTGAAGAACACATCGACATCGAATCGAAGGAGTATAAAATATTCGAGTGCACGAAGCTTTTCCGTATCGAAATCGCCGATGTAACACTGACCGTTCGAGAGGGTAACGAACCCCGCATCGGTTTTACGGAAAAACGGACCTCGACTCGGCACGATATCGATGAAAGTGAACGATAACATTTCGTTGTACTCACCGCAATGCAGTGACCTCCACGCTTGTATCATGCAGAGCTTCCCTCCTTCGTTGCTGCGAGACTCGTGAAACGGGGGTTGAACAAGGGCTACTGCTGTCCGTGACAGGAACCACCGCATAACCAACAGTCACGTTTCTATCGGCACATCGGTTCGCGAAACGATCACTCTGTACACCGCACCACACGCGTTTCTATCGAACGAACGCGACGAGCCACCGTTTACTTGACGATGGAACGCGAGTAGTCCGCAACAAACGCGGAAACGAAAAAGTTTTTCGGCCTCGTAGGACCGCCGAATCGATGTGTGATGTTACACTTCCCAGCTGTCTTTTTTGATTCTGCGGATGTGCTCGCGACTACCACCATCTGACGGTACCTCTCTTAACTTCTCCGTTCGCGGTTCGCCGCGAAAATACAAACGATCGAATGTAGTTGCATACTACGTATTTCCGAATAAATTGTCAGAGCTACATAATTTTATTTAATTATTTCATTTTTGAAGTATGAAACGAGAAAACGTCTACATTTAAATGTTGTAAAAGCTGATACAGTGCTATAATTCTATCATATTGAAACATCAAAAACTATGTGTAAAAACTATTTTACTGAACTTTTAACAAGGAACCTTAGCGTCTATACGCTGATCTTCACCTTTCAAAATTGGGTTCTATATTTTTACATCAGGATACAATGAAAATATTCAATCTAGAAATATCTTGCATTTTACAATGTAATTTATTTGCGTGCATATATATATATATATAAATATATATTGTACATGTATATATATGTATATATATATATATATAGACTCGTTTTTCACAATATCATATAAGAACATAATTTATCGTAATCTTAAGATAATTAATTATAGTATTAACGCTTAACCACTGTTAGGATATATATATTTATAACTTCGCCATATTCTGTTAATAGTAAATAATCGCAAGAACTTAAATCTACAAGCATGTTTTTGTTACATATTCATTTGTCGCAAGTGTTGTACAAATGCATACATCCTTGTAGTCGATATATATTACAAGATACATGCTCTTATATTTATGTACAAACTAAAAGGGAGATACATTGCAGGTTAAGTCAGGCATATCTTCATCGACTTGTACGCCCAATCGATAAATCGATTTTGTTATACACGATAGTTAAATATTTATAAAAGAAAAAGGAAAAATTAAGTAGCTTTTTACCTAAATTTAACAACGAAATTATTTTGCAAAGGTGCTCTTAAAAACGATACGTTGAAACGCGGTAACAAGAACTAGATTGTTCGGTATAATACGTGAACATTATTCAACGATAAAATCAAAAAAACGATTAGGTAAGTAGGTGCGGATGAAATATGTAGGTGATTAGTAATCTTACGTTTCTGTCCGAATACAATTTTGAGTTAACAAGATAAAGGAAAATTTTACAATCGTCGAAATAAAGTTACGCGTTCAAAAAATACATCACAATAGATTATTCCATTTTAAATTACCTTCTAAGACATGTATATGTAATTCGAAAGCTCGCCATAGTAACGCATGGAATACGTAAAATTCAAAGTAATCAGAATTTAAGGCCACAAAATTTGTCTCGTAATAATAATTATTTATTATCTAACGGGACGTATCTGTTTACAATAAAATAAGCTGTACAAACAGGATGGAATGTTTCGTTAGCTTTAAATGCTAAATATCTTTTGTTAGAACGCTTGTTACATTCTCGGAATAGTTGTTATCGTACAAAGTAGGCATTTACAGGTAACGCTAAACACGGAATTTCCGGTTAGTTAACTTCGTGCGTTGTATAGTATCACTTTCAGATAAAGAAAAAAATCTAATGTATTCATTCTTTCGTATATTGTCATAATGTACAATACATAAGCAAATTCGTCTTTCTTTTCCTTCTTTTCCTTCTAATGCTATATACAATGAGCTAAGCACAATATAGCTTTTCATTATCGATTCTCAGGAGAACATAATACAAGAACAATAGTTGTTATATAGGCAACATTTTTTACATGTCACGCAAATAAACCAAGTAACATCAGTTCAACGTCTGTTATCAGTTCAGTTCGCGTGAATTATTTAATTAAATAACGTTTTTTACAATAAAAAAGTTACGTATTTTAGAATATCTACGATTTTTCTTATTACATCTTCTAACAACATAATCTTTTTTCGATCTTTTTCTCTTATTTATATATTTTTATGATTACACGTTTTTACAAAACGTAATAGATTTTCCAGTTTTCGTTGTGACAATAGAAAATCCATGAGGAAAGGTTTAAACAAATTTTTTTTTTGAATATCACGCTTTCATATCCTTACAGAAAATTAAACTCAAATATTTCCATGGAACATCTGTCTTTTCTTTTTTGTAAAAAATATAAACAAACAAAATCACTACCTTGAAGACATTCGTTTTGGAAAAGCTGGTTTCAACGTTAAAATTAAAATTAACTCCGAATTTAATCATACAATTTGTCATAAATTACATAGCGTCATTGTATACATAACAACATTACAAATTTTGTTTCCATCATACCAATGCGAACGTAATCAAAATATAACGAGTTCAATTGCAATTTATTATTTTTTAATTTGTAAGTTCGTATCCATAAATTCCTTCTGTAACAAGGCATTTTTATCAACCAAGTAAGACAAGTAATTGATCGATTATAACCTTATCTTAAAGTTATTTACAATTAATATCAGATTAATATTTTTTCCTATAGTGACGAACAAAATTTTTTCCAAAAAACTGTTTTAAAAGTATAACAGTCAAAATACGAAATTACGTTTAAAAAGTGAAGTGAGTTAATAAATTGTAGTTGATAAGTGTCTGAAGCAGTATTTGAGATTACTTCCAAATTTTTTCTTTTCTAAATATAGCTTATGATTTTAAAAGTGCATAAAATTGTTTTGAACTATTGATAGCGGCTAAGTAATATTTAAACATACTTTTTTCTGATTTGTCTCAATATTGTAACTAGCAGTTAAAAGACATCTAAGCCTTCGGAGTGCAGAAAGATGTTTATCCTGTTAAGTAGTTCATCATATTAGATAATATACACGATTGCGTATGTATATGTATGTATATATGTACACATTATATTACAGATATCATCATGAAAAGGGGTATTTCGTGCTAATCCACTCCAGCAAAACCTTGAGAACCTTCAATTGCTTTAATCAATTTCTCCCTGAGTTGTTGATAACTTTCGTAAGGAGGAAGGTCAATACGATTAAAACTGGAAATGGAATATTGACCATCAGATATGAAACAATATCTTTTAAATCTATTCAACGTGGTTTACAAAATAAAAATAACGGTGTAAGCAAAAACTGCTATAGCTTTTAATCGGTGTCATTGACTGAAAATTAGATACTTACCAAGTATGAGCTCTTGGATAATTGTCCGGTGTGCCCCATTTTTCAATTGTAAACAACTGTGGTCCATTGCTACCATAAAGTTCCTTGAAACCGTTCATCGGCACTCGAGACGTACCAGTAACAAACTGTAAAAGTCTAGATCGCATTTCGTTACTAAATGAAAGTACTACTCGCCAAAACCATTGGACAACAATATGATTTGCGTGATAATCTCCTTTGTACAACGTATTCTGTTTCCAGTCTTTCACGTCAATGTGTTGAATACCACACATCAATAATTCCAATTCGTGTTCGTCAAATATTTTTACCAACGTTGGCGGTATAAGAGCATTAAAACCTTCTAAAAATGCATTCATCTGTTCTTGAACTCTCGACACGAACCGCCATTGTATCACCAAACCAATGTATTCGTCCTTATTTTCATCTGTCAGTGGAATATTAGCACCGTCTGGCTTGAGTTCTCTTTGAGAGGTATGTCCAAAACTTTCTTCGTCGACGCAAAACGTGAGTTCCAATTCGCTAGGATCATTTTCCTTAATCCACAGTAACGAATTGTAGTATTCCGAATCAACGCTTTCCATGTCTTTTAAATCAATAGATTTACCCAGCATCATTTTGTAAAATGGACGAATGAAAAACGCTGTAAAAAAGAAATAACAACTTCGTTTATTATTACCAAATATTTGTCAAATTACCAAATATTTCTATATCTTTACTGCAGTATAAATTTTACCGTCTAACAATTTCCCGTGATAAACGGCCATTCCAGCAATCCGCCCTATGAATTTAAAATAATTCAAATGTTCTTCGTTGCATACTCCCGAGAAAGGATTAATTTGTAGAGTATAATTATCCCTACGAACAATTCCAATTGTTATTACCCGTTACATCGTATACTATACGGGAGATGTACTAAATCGTAAATATACTTACGTAGCGGAATATTCGAACAATCCATAATAAGGATTGAACATTTCTTTCGACAAGAGGAAAAACCATTCTCGAGCTAGCCCTCCATAATCTAAACCAACTTCCCCTTCGAACTCAACCCATAATTTTGTTTTTAGTATTTCGACTCGATTGACTGAACTAATTATACGGTACGAATCTTCTAAAATGTTATTTCGGCTAACTTTGATTTCAAATTTATTAGGAACATTGTTCTAAAAGGCAAATAACATAACCATAATGTTATAACGATACTAATAAAAGTACCCCAAAATAATTCTCTAATTGTGTTCCGTACTTACAGGCTTTCTTAACTGGGATTTAAGATATTCGTATTTACGTTTATAATCCCTTGAATATGGTACAGCCTGTATAAATACCATAAAATTAATTTGATAGAATTTTCATACTATATTTTTTAGTAAACGTTAATTTTTAACATTGCAAAGTATTACACTCACCGGTCCTGCAATTTGAGGATTTGACATACGTGGATCTTCCCATTGTGTTGTTCTTGTATCTAAACAAGGTGAAGGGAGAACACAATGTAGTTAAACTGAACATTTTTATCTATTACATGATTAAACATTACTATAAACATACTGTGATCGATGAAAAATATTCGTCCATCGGTATGAACTCTTTCTTCCCAACCTTCGGGAAGAGGTCCAAGTTGATCTAAATCGCTTCTTGATGTAGTAGAAGGGGCAATGTGGTTAGGTATCGAGCTTGGACGCCCTGTTCGAGGATCGATCCATGTTGTTGTCCTCTCGTTATGATCAATAAAAAATACTCTACCATTCGGAGCTATTTGCATACCCCAACCAGGAGGTAACCCTTCGTCGCTTGATACGGGAAGCGTCGGCTTTGGACTTTCAATCTGAATATTATATGATAAACGTTTTTTAATTGTTTATTCGAACAATGAGTTACTGTTAGATAACTATGTTTACTCAAATCAGTACCCACTTGTTCGGACGATCGCCTAGATCCAGCTGGACTATCCACATTGTCGTCACTCTGTAAACGTTATTAACATATTTTACATCAAAATATGATTTTGTATAAATTAAATACACACTCACATGATAAACACGCTCATATAACAATGTCAATTAGTTATGCAATAAGATAAACTTACATCTTATGCATGTTCAACGTTTGACGACATATTAAGCATTTACGATTTATACGTTAATTATGGAATTATTTTTGGAAAACAGAATTAAGCAGAATCATGCAATGTATCAATTACACAAATTTAAAGCAAAATTCTGTATAGACATGCATACGAATTACATTGTTTAAAATATAAACAAAATTTGTTAATCAAATATATCCGGGAAATAGAAGCAAATGCATGGTGAAGTTTCATAACAAATCACTTTTTAAGTATTATTTATATAAAAAAAAATATATATGTATACACGATGGGAGTGCTATAAAGTAAATATTTTTCTTTTCTCCCGAATTTCGGATTTTACTTTTGTAATGCGGAAACGAAAATATAAACAAAAACTTTGAATAGAACTGAAAGTGAGCATGTCTACATGTACGAGTACCTGGTCTTCACATTCACTAAGGTAGCCACGTTGATCAAGAGAATGTCCAGAGTCTGAAGAAGTATCCCCCATACCCCCTCCCCTATGATTCTCAATCTCATAATCTCTCGTTTCCGAATCTTCACCTTCCTCGCGAAGAACTTCACCATCCTTACACACACATGCACAAAATTGCTACATACTGCATGCTAGGTACTCTATTGGTTAATAAAGTATCATACCCTTGAAACACTAGAATTTATCAAATCTTTTCCTTGTATAATTCATGCAAATCTAGCTCTTAGTAAATCATCAGTTACAATAGTATTTTTCATTATGATACCATAACATATTAAGATAAGTAAGTATAGAAAAAGCATACATCTGTAGTTGCTAAAATATATTGCACCTAAAAATACTAAATAGAACTACCAATATTTGTAAATTGTGAAAAAATTTCGTTGATTATTTATCTTATTAAATTCCTAACACAATAAAACAGCATTATAAGATAGTACATAATGTAATTTCTATAAGTAAAGAGTGAAATAATAATAAAGAAGTAAATCCTACTTTTTGTGCGTGTGTGTGTACGTGTTTATATACACACATACGTAAAATATAAATGTTACTATACAAATTTAATAGAACATAAGACATGTGTAAACAGAACATTGTACTATAGAAGAATTAGTCATGATAATAAAATGCATTCAAATTGCTCGAAGTTTAACGTAAATAAAACAAATATACACTATATTTTTACATTTCAATTTCTATTTCATAAATATCTTACTGTAAAAGCTAATGTACAAGAACTTTAATTTTATAAATTATATTTTTCTTACTGCATTTGTTGCAAATAAATGATTTAATATTACCTGATTAATGGAACTTCTGTGTCTATTTTCTTCATCCGCGCTAATATGAAAACGTCGCTGAAATTCAGTTGCTGCTGTACTGAAATTTCTTTCAATTGTCATATTTCCACTAGGTGAAGTAGTACTGTAAAAACATTTTAATATCTTACAAATATCGTTATTTACGTATTGCTATAACATGACAATTATAATATCTGTTACATACGATTCTGTTGGGCATTCCCACTGTGTAAATCTTGCTATATGATTAACATAATATGTTCGTCCATTCGCATCCTGTCTTTCTTCCCATCCTGGTGGTAAAGGTCTGTTAAGGACAACCTAAGAGAAATTAGTATAGAATGTTATTTATTGTAATTGTAATGTTTAAAATTGGTTAATCCATGCATAGTAAATGCATGCACAACTGGCCATACATCTGCAACCTGTTCCACAGGACTATTATTTGGTTGTTGTACCATTTCCCACCCTCCTGAGTCAGATGCAGCATCTCCATTATCATTGTCTACGCTTGACGTGTCAGAAATATATGCATGGTATACCTCCAATGTACCCTTCACTCTCGAACGCTGACTGGAATGATTACTAGCCATATCCTCGTAAGTTATTCATTTTGCATTTGCAAACAAAATATACAAAAAAAAAATATTATAATGAACTAAATAAGAAAACTGACTCGTTGCAAAATATTATAATTTTTATGATTCAAAATAATGCATATAAATATGAAGACAATAAAAGTTAATGAATAAAATAAAAATACAGATGCAGTTAATTGAGAATTCACATTGCATAAAAATTCATTAACAAATCATTTTAAAATATAAGCTCAGAAATTAAAGTCTCAAAACATTAAAATATGTAGCTCCAAGCATACATTACAAAAGTACTTACCTACGGGGTCGAAGTAAATAACGTCTAGTAGGAATTGTACGACCTTCTTGTTCTTTAGGCAAATTAATTAATGTTAATTCTACCATTCCAAGAAAATCATCCCTTGTCAATCTATTCTCGTCAAAAACTTGTAACACTAATTTGTGATCAACAGGTTTAACCTACAGATCAAAAATGTATTTTATTTGCATATCAGATTTATACATATTTATTTTGCTGTGTCATCAAAATATATTGCATTAATCTTACTCTAAATATAAACTCTTCTTCCCATGTGGGATTCAAAGTCTTCTTTTTTGTTTTTGTAAGAGCAGAATCCACTGTTTGATCACCATTTATAGTATTTAAATCAACGCGTACATATGGATCGCTTGCACCAAAAATGTCTTTTTTCGCTAATTGGTGCGCAGCGATCACTTTTAGTCTCAACTTACTGGTGGTTTCATTTCTCTGTTCAAAAAACATAAAAATCCAGGTATTAAGATAGAATTCAATAGTAGTTATTAACTGAAATGAACAATTGTTGTATAATAACTTGTGTCAGTTATTAGTATCAAATATAACTTATTTATATATATATATATAAATAAATTTATAAGAAATTATAATTTTTTTATGAATCATTAAACCATTGATTATCTCGTTCATTCGTATAGCCAACGATATGACAAGAACTTTTTATCCACTTTTGTGCATTTTATATAATAAACCCACTTGTAATCATTTTACAATTTATAGATATTGTTGATCAGTATTTCTCTATAAGTAAACATAATTAAAACAACTCGCATCATGATTTTCAATTGAGTAAAAACTTGCAACGTTAGCACAGCAATATTACTAATCATAAAATCAACAACTCTTTGGAAGTAACACCCTTCCTGAAGTCTATCAATCAAAAATCCAACCTATACTTGTCAAACTGTCAAAATAGTTACGTACAGACTCTCCGTCAACTCCTGGCGTCGGATTATATCCGTAAACATGTTCTTCTGCCATTAACGTTAAATGTAATCGATTTTGTTTTAATCGTCGATTGCTGTTTCTTACAATTTAGCGATGTTCACAGTTTCTTATGTGCCATCAAGAAACCTATTTTGTCTTAACCCCTCTCCGTTACTATTGCATGAACGAAACGGATATGACATACTCCCGCTTAAAGATGGCTAACTTCCTTTCCAATATTTAAACATATAACTAAACATTTAACTCCTGTATTTTATCCACGTTCCAATTAACAAATGTATCTTTATTCTTTTGAAAGTATTCTAGTCTTCACAAGACACGTCATCTTTGATTCTTAAAATTAAAAAACAAAAGATGTATCCACAGAACAAGTTTAACATTGCAATGAGTAATATCTAATGCGCCTGCGAATTTCTCCGAATTTTCCTAAATACAAGTTTTTCGTCATTGTACGCAATGAATTGATCAATGACATCGAAATTATGAAAACTTCATTTTTATCCCGATTAAAGTTATTCGTTAATTATCATTCTATTTAAATAGTTAATACGCCTATAAAAGGACTTGTGTGTTTTAATGTTTATCAAAGTATTATTTTAATATTGAAGGACTTTCAGTGATAAGAAAATTGTAACAAAATATATGATAAAGAATTTTTTACTATTCAATTTTCCATCTGAATGTTGTAAAACAGTGGTGAAGATAAATAATTTTTAAGTTACTATTATAAAATAAACCCTTAGTCTTTAATTAAATTCACATACCATAGGCTCTGTTAGCGATACTCGTCCTGGTCTTGTATTAGCTTGTAGTATTCGAGATGTAGAACGATGCTGACTATTCCAAGTATAAGAACGAGTTCTTTGCGGAGACGATTCAACACCAGCATATATTGGGTAGGTCAAAGTACCTGGCATCTTATATTCTTAATCTCTTAGTACTTTCCACATTGACACAAACGTTCTTCACTATATTTATTACATGTGTTTTAGTTTTTATATAAAATTAATATTAATATATTAATTCAATTAGTAAATACAACTGTTGAATATCAAATGCAGATATTTATTTTAAATGTTTCTAATGTATGAAACTAAATTTAAGTAAATTTTACTAATGATTCACAAATTAACTTTGACATTTTAAGGCACTTCATAGACACTTGCATATAGATTTAATATAAAGTATGTCAATAAAAGAAACTAATTCTATTATTTGTTATGTAACAATTGTAACATGGACCAAAACTCTTTACTTAATAAATATCTACTATAATATTAAATGTGCAATATTATTAAATATATATATATTCTTTCTCTCTATATATATGTATACATTTATATATTGCACATGTTGCTATATGAATACACTGTATACACTATACGTATATCAATGTACACTGGTAATGAAACATTTATGAAGAACCATTAAAAGCCATAAATATAAGACAGCACAAAATGCTACAAAAATATACCTAATCAAATACACTTTTTAATGAAAACCTTTATATAATTCACCATTAATTAATTAGAATACTGTAATTTTCAACAGAAAGAACATAACATGTAGTCATCCATAACTGAAAATCTACTTATTTCTGATATAAACGTTAACTGTAAAAATCTTTTGAGATAAGGAGAGTGCTTTAAATCATTAATTTGATAACACATACTTATTTAACTACGAAATTAACTACTACACTGAAAGTTAGATAAACATACAACCAGGTATCTGTTCCATAAACTATAAACGATTCAAATATAAGTCTGTGAAAGTAATTGAAAATAAAAGTGACAAAATTATTTATCTAAAAATCAGTTTATAATGTATACTTATTAATATTTCCAACTAGTTTTGTTGCTTAGTATAACCATAATATTACTTATTGTTCTTTTTGATATTAAGATATTTGATTGATAATTTTGTTCAACTTGCATTCGTTTTATAGGTAGGGTGGCGCTCTTGGTGTTATTAAAAGTCAAACTTCGTTTGTTTCTAAGTAATTTAAAATCACGATAAGAAAAAAATGTTCAGTATTGAAACTTTCGTTTCTAACACGTGAGGACGTGACATATTGAACGTAACACGTATTGAAAATATTAGTAAATATTTATTTGATTTGTAAATATGTATAAATTATTAGTAATCAGTATAAAATTAAGGTAAAAATAATAGTTAGACTTGTAAATAAAGTATAAATATTTTTAGATCTATTTTTATACATGACACAGGTTAAGTGATAATAAATAAGTGTTATCTTATATTTATTACATTTTACAAATTGTTAAGATGTTAAGAAGGCGGCATGTAAACATTAAAACTGTCAAAGAACTGGATGGATTTCCTAAGGTTCCTGAACCTTATGTTGATAAGACTGCAGTTGGAGGAACATGTAAGCTATATGCTAGATAATTCAATGTTTTGTTTATGCCTAGCAATAATTTATTATGTTTCTTATTTACAGTTTCTATATTTACAATATGTATTATTGCATACCTTATAATAGCTGAAACAAGTTATTATCTTGATAGCAGATTACAATTTAAATTTGAACTAGATACAGATATTGATGCAAAATTAAAAATAAATATTGATATAACTGTCGCTATGCCATGTGGTCGCATTGGTGCAGATGTTCTAGATTCTACCAATCAAAATATGGTAGGGCATGAATCCTTGGAGGAAGAAGATACTTGGTGGGAATTAACACAAGAACAAAGATCCCATTTCGAAGCTTTAAAACATATGAATTCTTATTTAAGGGAGGAATATCATGCAATTCACGAGCTATTATGGAAATCTAATCAAGTTACTTTGCACAGTGAAATGCCTAAACGGTATATGAATCTTATTGAAATATATCTTTGTGATTATACTCTTTCAAATAATATCAGATGCTTATTAGTTTACTCAGAGGATCTCATTATAGTTATGTGTTCTTTTAGAAGTCATCAACCTTCATATCCACCGAATGCATGCCGCATTCATGGCAGTCTAAATGTTAATAAAGTATCTGGAAATTTTCATATAACAGCTGGAAAATCATTATCTATTCCCAGAGGACATATACATATTTCAGCATTTATGATTGATAGAGACTATAATTTTACTCATAGAATAAATAAGTTTTCATTTGGCGGGCCTAGTCCGGGTGTTGTTCATCCATTAGAAGGCGATGAAAAAATTGCTGATAACAGTAGGTTCATAAAATATATAAAATACGACTATGAACTTTTATAGAATCTATAATTAATAAGAAAAAATTGGTCTTTTAGATATGATTTTATATCAGTATTTTGTGGAAGTAGTTCCCACAGATATACAGACTTTATTGAGTACTTCTAAAACTTATCAGTATAGCGTAAAAGATTATCAAAGACCTATCGATCATCAAAAAGGATCCCATGGAGTTCCTGGAATCTTTTTTAAGTATGACATGAGTGCACTTAAAATAAAAGTTACTCAACAACGTGATACAGTATCCCAATTTTTAGTAAAATTATGTGCTACGGTTGGAGGCATTTTTGTTACAAGCGGTAAGTAACTATTCATTGTAACTACACAATTTGTGTCCTTTTAAAAGTATTTTCAATACAATAAATTTTACAGGATTAGTAAAGAATATTGTTCAGTATTTTTGGTACATTGTATGTTGCAAATTCTTAACACCTAAAGAAACCAAAAATGACCAAATGCTTGTAACTCCAGTAGTTAATACAAACCATCAAATACCTGGAACAATAAATTTGCTAAATGTTTCAGTACCAAATAACATGGATATCATGTTTCAATCTCAGTGAAAACTGTTTTTAAGTGAAAATGATAATAAACTAAGCATTTGTAATCATTTTGTAAATAACAAATTAATAATAACAATAATTTTATATTTATGAATTATATTTATTTCTTTTAATAATTTGGTTGTATTATAAATATTATTGTTTCATGGTTTAGTCTTGATATAAAGCCTATACTAAATACTATACCTATACATTGTATAAGCTTTATGAAGCTTGAACAGATATAAAGTGGGAGAACCTTCCCTCTCCCATTACTTTCCTCCAATGAAATGGTTTATTAGAACAGAAAGTATATGAACATGTATATAAAAGAAGTAACAGGGTGGTGTTCATTGTTGAATGGTAGTAGGAAAGTTTGATCGAAATATGACATTTTATTTACATTTATTAAATCAATGCATTAATGTTTTGCGATATGCATAGCAAACGATTAGTCAACTGAAAATCTTCGCATGCGCTCGACCGAACTATTTAAGAGAACGAAATTTATTTCATTCTCAAACGGAATTAAGTAAAAGTGAATTGTTTAGAAATGGCAGATATTAAACAAGATCATAAAGTTGAAGATACTGATAATTATGGAATGGGTAATAACGCGGAACCAAAAAATATGCAGGAATTAACAGAATATGTAAGAATAGTCTTGTTTATTTTTGATATTTACTATTACTTAATATTACGATTACTCATTTATATTTTTATTCTTTATTTTTAGGTGCAAACATTATTGCAAAATATGCAGGGCAAATTTCAAACAATGTCGGATCAAATTCTTGGCAAAAATATCCTTTTTTCAAGTTTCTTTTTTAAAACGTGCTTTCTTAAATAACCTCAAAAATGTAACTGTTATGACAGCTGAAGTGTTTATTACGCAATTATAAAAGACAGTATACAGATAAAGTAAGTTTATTTAAGGAAACACGTAATATACTATAACAATTTTATAATTATAATGATAATCACTATAAGAAACCTTAACACGAAGTACTAGATGAAATGGGAAATAGAATAGATGATCTCGAGAAGAATATTACAGACCTAATGACACAGGCTGGAGTAGAAGGAGGTGAAAAATGATCATATCTATTATAAAATAAACTTTGGTATTCAACAAAGTTATAAATTGCAATATTGGCAATTATTACTGACAAAGAATGATATCTGAAGATTATTAACGTGTACTTTTGATTATGAAAACAAATAAATCACATTTTTTGCAATAAGATATTATAATCTAATCTACATTTTTCTGGTATTAAGTAAAAAAATGAGGTATACTGTTAGTCGTACATAATCATCATAGGCTTTGTTAAAATCTTCTGATACGCAGGAACAGGGGGTACTGCTTTAAGTACTAATTGGCTTGGAACATCATGTTTATAGTTATTTTGCAGTTTAATCTACAATTGTATAAAATATTAAAGAAAATATATGAATTATACATAATTACATAGATTTATGTCTAGTTCTCACAGGTTTCTGTTTAATCGATTCAGATTCTGTTTCTTCTGAACTATCTTTGTATTCCTCAATTTGTACAGATTCTGAAGAGTTTGTTTTTAAACTAGATTTTGCAGAATCCTGTAAATAAATATTCATAGAGTTTTCACGACTGTATTGTCGTCCATTTTAAATTAAAATTAAAATTAAAACCTACCGTGGATCCTGTAGCACGGGAATCTAATTTTTGCGAAATAACGGGAGAAGAAGTAAAACGACTAGCTAAGTTAGTGAGAGAATAGGCCTGTCTGAATGAAGTTCGTCCAACTGTAGCCAATCTTGCAATGGAGTCTGGTACATGCATCACTTCCCGAAATTCCTGAATCCAATCGTTAAATTTATTAATTTAAATAGTGAAAATATCTTTTATATGATACCTTCACGACACGAAATTAAACATAATAAGCAAAATAACAATTTACCCCATTCATACTTCCTCTCATTGTTCGAAAGTCCTGTGAGAAAAACATCAATATGACGCTAATTTAAATTGGTTTTTTAAACGAAACAGGTCTCACCTCTAAATCTTTAACTTCATCAATTTCAGCAATATCTTGATAAGCCTTTGTCAATAATTCCAGAGTTTTCGCGTGGAAACTAAGCTCGATAACAACAAAATCTAACAATAATGTTTTCAGATCGTGTAATTTTCGTTTTTCGAACGAATCGATTTGTTCTTCCAACCCTTTTACAACCCTTGAAACTTCGACGGATGCTTTCATTAATTCCGATTCGGCTTGTGACTATTCATTTTTAAGAATATAAAATACATTGGAAATGACATGTATTGTAACGTGAACATTAATATAAGGATACAATCATTTGTCTGTTTCTAGGATTTCTTTCTCTGAGTCTGTCTAAATGTCGTTTCCTTGTTAATTCTTTGTCACGTGCAGCAAAAGTATTTTTCACATCATCGCGAGCATGTTTGCAGATCGTCGCATATTGAGAAAGCGGAGCAATTATTTTTGCATCAAGCCTTTGTACTTTGGCATCCCTAATAACATAACAAAATTTTGTTATTTACTCATTTTCATAATTTTGCTCGAAAATTCTTGCAAAGCTAGTCTCGAACTTCTCTTCCCCCGATGGTTTTTGGGACTTTTAAGATTTCAAAATTAGAACCTCAGAACTGTGGTAAATAATGCATCATAAACGAATGGGTCGCGGAACATTATTACTTCTTAAAGCGGGTTTCGGCTCGTAAACGATTGACAAGTTTTATTTAGCAAGTCAACGTGTAGATACCTGTAGTCTCCTATTACTGATAGCGTCGCAGAAAAATTCATTAACCCCATAGAAAGAGATCGATTTGTAGTTTCTGATTGAGCATAAGTCTGTATTACTTTCGCAACTTCATCACCTTTATCGCGTAGTCTGAAAGTACACTTATGAATATAAATAGGCAATCAAATAATCGATAAATAAAGGTATTATGAACAACCTTGCCGCTTTTCTTGTATATGCTGCAAATGTCGTGCATAGTTCTGCGAAGTGTCTCTCTACGTTAGATATTCTGTCTTGCACAAATTTTGCTTCTTGTTCCCTAATAAAAGTTACAAAATATAACATTAAAACATAGTCCTAGATACTTTACAGACGCGTTAAAATATTTACCATATACTGATCTGGGATCTTGAACGTAACATCATGTGGTATGTACACGTTTTTCAATTTTTTGTTTTTCAAACTTAAATCGATGTTCCTATGAAACTACTACACTTTTACCATTTCACTCCCCCTACTGAACAGTTTATTGTTGACAGGTGGTGCATTATAACCCGAAGGGAGGTCGACTTTTACCTACACTGTACTACCTGGCCTTTGCCTACCTACCTGTAAAACTATAGTTTCTTTACGAAATATTTACGAAGAAACGAATACGATTCTTTGACCCCTTGTTGTGCGAGCGCTATTTAATTTTACAGCAATTTCATACATGCAATTATTGTAGGAATATATTTTAGATTTTTTCCATGGAATTACTTTGTATGAAGTTTCCATAATATTATAGTATTATGAATATGTGTATAAGGATTCAAGAGTGAAAATAACATTTGGAACATGTATTTCGTCAATAAAATTTATGATTTCTTTATTACAGCGAATGAATGACCTGCACCGCAACCGACGCGAATTCCCGCGTAATCAAACGGAAGTATAAGCTGCTCCGGAGATTTAACATCTCGTCTGCATCCATTTCCGCAATTTCCGTGTTCGTTCCAACCCCAACATATGATTTTATCGTTTTCTGCAATATTGAACTCGTGATATGTTATGACATATTTAAATTTTTCTTCCTTTGTTTCTAAACTATAAATACACCTGTTAAAGCAACGTTATGTTCTGATCCAACTGAAACCTGATGAATTTTCGATTCGTTTGCGAGTCGTACAGCTTCCCAAGATAATCCCTCGAATTTCTCAATGCCTAACTGCCCATACGTGTTTCTGCCCCACGAAAAAACATTACCATCTAGAAATGAGACATTCACCGTTAAAATAATACATGTTACCTTACATGATAAATATTAAACCGAATTACCGCTTAATGCAACTGTATGCGACCAACCGCACTGAATCTTAGGTGGTGATTTAAATTGCGTATCTAATAATTTCATTGGAAATGATGTATTTGGGATTATATCGCTATTTAAGCCTAATTGTCCGTGTTTATTGTCGCCGAAAGCATAAAGGTCCCCGTTATCCTCAATTGCGATCGTATGATGTTGACCGCAACTAACGCTGCGCACATTCGTCAAAGTTGGAACTGTTTACAGAGTATTAGAAAATAATTTAGACCCATATAGAGACGATGTTTCGTTTCATAAAATGTTTACCTTCCACGAAATTGTATGCGGCATTTAAAAACGGTTCGTTCTTTGACGGACTTAAGCCCAATTGTCCTCTGTTACCTGCACCCGCTACTAGAACTTTATGATCGTCCGTTACTAGTGCAGTGTGCCTTAAGCCAAAAGAAATTCCTTTGATTTTTCGATCAATTAGAAGCACGAAAGGTTCGTGTGTCCATCGAAAATCACTCGGGTGTTTTCCCAATTGTCCGAAAGAATTAGACCCCCATAGAAATAAGGTACCTTCTATTGTTAATGCCGCGGAACAGTCCCAGCCACATGCGACGTCCACGATAACATTGTCTTCGAGTTTACCACCTATTTCTTGAAACAAAAGAACATCCTGCTGCGTAGGAAAACCTGTTTGTCCTTTATTGTTCCAGCCACAGGAATAAACGCGACCGCGATCGTCTAAAATTAGGGAGTGACCAGCACCGCCGACTATTTTACGTATTCTACGTGGTTCTAACGAACATCCGGATAAATTAACTTCTTGCGGCAAAAGGCATTCTTCCGAACGAATGCCTTGTCCAAGTTGACCATGAGAATTGGCACCCTATACAACGTTTAATTTTTACTTAATTGCAAATCTTATGTTTTAAAATAATCTAGACTTGTCCTCTATGTTTTGAATATTCCCACCAAATCTTGGACTTATGTTTGAATTTGATCTTATCGATTATGAATAACATTTTATTAACTGCGCGCAATTTTGTTTATAATTCATTATAGATTTTACGAAATTAAATTATTAACGGGTGCATATTTGAAATAAAGATGATCGTGTATAAAAATGTGTAGTAAAAACGTTTAGTTACGTTACCCATGAAATTAAGCGATAGCTCATCGTTGCTTGAATACGTGTAAATTGTTTCTTATAAAATACTCGTATTTCATGTTTTGGCCATGTTTCAATAATAGAATTAAAATCATCTGTAATTTTAAGCTAGATGACTAAATACGTATGTACTAAAGTAAAAACTGAAAGACTCGAAAAATTAATAGGTTAATATTTCGGTCATACGATGTAGATGGCGGCAAAACATGTTCGTGTATACAAATTTTGTATACAGTTTCTTAATTTAACTCATAAAAACATTGATTCTTTTATTGAAATGTGTAGAATCGGTATTTAATTAACTACGGTAGTTATAATAATTAGATCAATCATTGATCAATCATTTATACGATATGGAAGAACCTATCAAGTTTGATATCAAAGAGGTTAAGTCTGATCTTTTGCGCGCGATAAACGAATGTTCTCAACGTGGATTATTGCATACCACAAAATGGTTTGTACGATTATGAAAAAAGAGTAACAAGGAAGCTGTTATTTCATTATAGTACCGATCGAAAAAATAACTTTTATATGTTTGTAGGTTAGCGGAATTGAGTTATTCTCTGAAGGACGTCAAGCCAAATGTTCACGATATTACCGCCGATGTATACTTATCGGACACAGATGAAGAAGAAGACACGTATATATTGGCAAAAACTTATTTCGATTTGAAAGAATACGATAGGGCGGCTTATTTTACCGAACAATGTAAAAGCCCGAAAGTTAGATTTTTACATTTATATTCCCGCTATTTATCAGGCGAAAAGAAGAAGATAGACGATATGACTGTAGTGCCTCCAGATCCTCTGAAAAATGATAGTTTAAAGTTATTATGCGCTGATTTAAGAAAAGATCATTTGGATGATAAGCTCGATGGTTTTGGTCTTTATCTCTTTGGTGTAACGTTAAAAAAATTGCAACTTACTAGAGAAGCTATGGATGTGTTGGTTGAGGCAACTCACAAACAACCTATGCATTGGGGATCATGGCTAGAATTAGCTTCTTTAATTATCGATAGAGAAAAACTGGAAAATCTATGTCTGCCTAATCATTGGATGAAACATTTCTTTATGGCTCATATGTATTTAGAGTTGCAATTGATCGATGAAGGATTAGCTCTATATTACGAACTACAGTCAATGGGGTTTAAAAAAAATGGATATGTACTTGCGCAAACTGCGATCGCGGTACATTATAGGCGAGGTAAATGAATTTCTTAATAATTGTATGATTTTGGAACTGGAACTTGTATTAAATTCATATATTTTGATTTCAGATGTTGATAACGCTATAGAGACATTTAAAAGGATAATAAAGGAAGATCCTTATTGCTTAGATAATATGGATACATATTCTAATCTACTTTATGTAAAGGAAATGAAAGTTGAATTAGCATATTTAGCTCACAGAGCAACAGAAATAGATAAATATAGATTAGAAACATGTTGTATAGTAGGTAAGTTTGCTGTATCATTGAAAGCATCTAAACTAAAGACATGGTTTTGCCATCTAGTAGAATTAATATTCTCTAGGAAATTACTATAGTTTAAGAGGAGATCATCAAAAGGCAGTGATGTATTTTCATAGGGCATTAAAGTTAAATCCGCAATATCTCTCGGCCTGGACATTACTCGGTCACGAATTTATGGAAATGAAAAATACCAATGGTGCCATTCATAGTTACCGACAAGCGATTGGTACGTTTTAAATGAATACCTTAAATCCTATAAAAGTATTCATCTAACAATTTTTTATTTATGTAGAAGTGAATAAACGGGATTACAGAGCATGGTATGGCTTGGGTCAGACGTATGAAATATTAAAAATGCCATTTTATGCACTCTACTATTATAAACAGGCTCAACTTTTGAGGCCACATGATAGTAGAATGGTACTAGCTTTAGGAGAAGCATACGAAAAGCAAGATAAAATACAAGACGCATTGAAGTGTTATTATAAAGCATGCAATGTTGGCGATATCGAGGGAATGGCATTATTAAAATTGGCTACGTATGTATTCAAGTTTAGTATCATTTAAGGTATATCAGTTACAATTAAATACACGTTTGTATCTCGTATATTATAGATTATATGAGAAGTTAGGTGAACACGATCATGCGGCAGCAGCGTATACTGATTTCGTGATGGATGAGTTTAGGAATGCGGACAGAACTGATTTAAGCCATGCATATAAATATCTAACTCAATATCATTTGAAACGAGAACAGTTGGATCAAGCTAATCACTATGCCCAAAAATGTTTGCAATTCGACGAAACGAAAGAGGAAGCTAAAGCGCTATTGAGAACGATCGCACAGAAAAGAGTAAAAGTTGAAGAGACTTCGATGGTGGTAATAGAGCAATATTCAGTATATCTAAGAGACGATCGCTAGCAACATATTTCTAATTCCGCATCAATTATAGGTAGAAGATATGAACGAAACGGATCCTGTTATCGAACAAGGGGAAAGAACAGATGCCACTCCAGGAAGCCAGTTATCACCGATGAACTTGTCATTCATGCCAACGCCGTAAGATATGGGAACGATACCAGGGAATCGTTGAACTTGTCGCTTTGTACGTTGTATATATTTTTAATAAATATTAAAAAATTAAATCGTAACATTTTTTATAACAAAGTTTTATTTATGACACGTTACTTTCTGTACAAACGTATGTTTTTATAACATATATATTTATTTTTTTTAGTACAATGATATCACCGATAGTAATTGTTCCTCAAAATGTTATTTAAAATTTTCGAGGAATTAACATCGATAGGTAGGTCCATAAATTCGGGATAATCGTAATAGAGATGTCTCATAGGCGAAGGTGCTGGTGGCACGATCGAGCAATGAAGACAATTGTACTTTGAGTGCGTCGCTAAAAAGTGTTTGTAATTGTTACCGACGTAAGACATTAACGGTGGATTCTGAGGTAATTCTGGGAAGCCAGGTGGTGGACGAGATCGTGCTGGAAAATTATTCGTGTTGTCCAATGAGTTTGTACGCGATCGTCCAACTACGATCAACATATCAGGAGTTAGCATTGCACGCTCATCGAAACCGAGATCCGTCGACGAGGATGACGTACTGCTGGATGAAATTCGTTTACGTTCAACTTTTGATGATCCATCGTTCGAATCTTCATTGTCTGCTATGTAGTTTAATTCTTGTTCCGTGTTTTTATTCTGAAAGAAAAAGAATAGCAATGTGTTATAGCAAGAAAAGTGTGTTACCATTATCAAGAAAAAGAAAATTGTAAACATACGTCCAAGAGATTGAACTGTAATCTGCGACCTGTACGTTTATGGCAAAGTTGTTTTTCGTACAGTTTACCGTCTACAGGAATCATTTCAACGTCGTCGTCCGAAAATGCACTGTCCGTTTGCGTGGCTATTTCTTTAAACTTAACGTCTTTCCGTTTCGTTTCTCTATTCTTCACTGTTGTCCTCGAAGATCGTGATTCGTGTTTACTAGGAGTATTTTGACGGGAGCTTCGTTTTTCTTCGCGAATTTTATTACCAGTTTTTCGTTCGCTATGTCTTTCATGTTTATTTTCCTCGTTCGACACTTTTCTTCTTTTACTATTAATGCTAAAATCTGACGGTTCTTTCTTCTTTTGCTCCCTCGTGTTGCTCTGTGCTTCTCTCTTTGCAACCGTGGAAGCGTTATAATTAGTCTTGTAATAAAGAAAATTATTCTGTTTCATTTTCTCACGCTTGAAAGAGGATGACGATTTAACAAACGAGGAAGGAAATTCATCTTCAGAGGAAGTACATTGTTTCTGAAAGATTCTGGCAATTTCTTCGTCCACGGACGAATTGCTATCTTGATCATTGACGTTCAAGTTCGCGGCTATGTTTTCTTTGTTGTTTTGAAATTGTTCAAATATTCGATGATCCCGCGATAAGTCGCGTGGGATATGCATCTTGTCAATAGATTGTTCCTCTATAGATATATCCATAGGTTCTTCCAGCACCGTGTTCGACGAAATTTTATCGAGATTGTCATTATCTACCGATATGTTCATTTCCATTATGTCGTTTGCGGTGCTCCATTGTTCACCAGAGGAATCTGAGTCTTCCTCGGCAGTTACCATCTCGTCAGCGGATTCATCCTTGTCATTATTTTTCTTTTCCTTTGAAGTTTTTACATCCGGTATCGCGTCTTTATTTTCATCCACCAAATCGTGATCGAGCTTAGGCTGCCTAGATTTCTCCGAAGGTTTCACCCTCGAAGTTTCATGCTGTGTATGCTTCTTCTCTTCTCGTTCTTTCGTTTTCTTTTCTTCTTTTTCTGCTGTATCTTTTTTGCTACTGGATTCTGTGAGTTTGTCGGAGTCGATGGATTTCGTACTCGTTCCAAATATACAGAAACGTAACAGATGCAGAGGGAAGAGAATGTACTTAATGCCGCTCTCGATGATACCGCCGCTCATCGAATGAAGAACTTCAATTGATGGCATCATCGTGTTTTCTTGTTTCGTCTTCGAATCTGTCCTTGGTATTTCTCGTACGAATGGGTTGTAGCGATTGCCGTTGATCGCACTCTTCGACGAATCTCGTGCACTCGATCCCGCAGTTTCCTATCAAAATATTAATTTACACGAATATTAAAATGTTTGGTGAAATGTTTGGTGTTCGTCGAACGATTGTAAACTCGTGGTTTTAATAACAAAAGACACTCTGACGAAGATCGAAGTCTACACTGACGGTAGTGGTGAAAATTTAGGAAATATGGAGAGCATTAAAAGCATGAATTGCATGTATGAAATTGTGTGATGAAATACGATTCGTGAATTTCGCTGGAACTCGACACAAGATAATCTTGTCAAAAGTGAACGTTTTCTTCGAGCCACGGATCGGGTTTATCGTTACGTAAATAATATTAAATTTCAGATAATTTGGAGAACATAATTAGCGTTGGTTTATCTATAATTGTGTGACGTCACAATATATATACCAGACGAGACATAAGCACGTACTCTCTGTTTCAAGCAAGAAATAATTTTGACTCACTTCAAAGGAAATTCTCGTGGCTCGATTTATCACGAAACATGCCAGTGTGAGGTAAGGTACGATCATCGACGTTATCAATAAAACAATCACCTTTGATATCAGATTGCTGATCGTTCGTTGCGTTCACTTTCCACTTGTTCTTTTTTTTATTTTCTCGTTCGCGAAAGCGTGTACTTACGTTATCGACTTCCGAGCACTGACGCCTGTTCCTTCTGCTTGTGCTTTTATTTTCCTTCGGCATGATCGCTGACACTTCACTCTTGCTATCGCCACCGTACAGAAACACTATGTCGCTTCAGATTTTTGTTTCCTGGACACCGACCAGTCTATACATTACACCTAAGGAATTACGAATGAAATGGAAAACCAGTGAAGCGTAGTTTTGTATGAAAGCTAGACAATAGCACCCTATACCTACTCTGATTGGTCGTTTGGCAAACGATGTAAAAGAAATTTCATGTTAGAATTGAAAGAATTCGAAGGGTGATTATCCCTTCTGACTACTCTTGACCGTAATGTTTTGTACTCGAACGCTTTCAGGTCAATTCGCTCCCCTCAACACCTCACACTGTTTATTATTAGAGACACTGAACGGATCGGGTTCTATTTATTCTATTTTTTTAAATAATCATATAGTTGATAAAAAAGAATTTTCAACAGGCCGATGGCCAGAGACCGTTGTCAGAAGTTTTTGCAGCAGTACATTTAAAATTTGCTCTATTTCATTTTACTTATCAAATTTGGATTCAATAAATAGATCATGTATTAATTTATATGTATAAAATAATGCATCAGCGATCGAATGAATAATGTTAACGAGGACGTTTCTAATAAAAGGACATTGCGCATATGAGCTTTTAGATAAGAAGTACAGTGCTACCATTTGATCCTTTTTCGACTTATCGAATGCCATTTAATTTTTTTTATTTGTCACAGTGAAGAAACAAAAGAAATATGTCTAATGTTAAGAAAAACAGAGGCATAAGATGGCAAAGCATTTGATGTTACGAAGATTTCGCAATATCGTAAAACTTTTCTCGTGTACTTTGATGCGTTTGCTATGGTAGAATCTTAACGATTATGGAATACTGTTATAAGATACGAACTCACGCAAGCATGCAGACACGACACGCCAGAATGCACGCACGCTACCTACGCATTGCACGCGGCAATTGACAGCTGTGCACACCTGTATACACCTGAGCGTGAGCACGCAAGCACGCACTTGCTATTGCTGCTTTAATATAATTTCTTCGCTTAGCAATATTTCATTATCCTTTAGTCCGATCTATTGTTAAGATTTTATTTTCGAATAAATTTCTTAAGAACTGAAATATATTTTATCGCGATTAAATTGTGATTCTGTAAATTAGTCAATTCTAAGTTTCTAATAGCAATGTTATCCAACTTTATAATTGTAACATTATAGAATGTAAAGTGCTATGTACTATGCATCAGTTAAGTTTATGCATGGTAATTTGAAATGTTTAAACGCAGTATTTTGCATATTTCTCGTGAAAATGAGTAGGTATCGATTAATATAAGGAAGTATGTTTCTTCTTTATTCGGTTGTTTGATCTATCGAATTGTAATAGTAAGTAGACAGCGAAGAGCGGTGCAGTGTTTCGATGGTGGTTTCTAAGGTCGCGCGCAATTCAACAGAGCATGGCAGCCATATTGACTATATTCTCCCAACCCAGCACCAAGGATGTTTGTGCGTGCCTGGCACGACTGCTATTACATCGCGGTCGTTGCCGTCGTCGTCGTTGTCGTTGTCATTCCCGTTGTTGTTATTCCTCTTGCTGTTGTCGACGTTGTTACTCTCGTTGAATCGTAATTGTCATCGACGCGTTCGAGTGTCGTGTAATCTGCGACGAGCTGTTAACATTTTTGGCAGACCTGACACTTACCGAGTGAGATATGTCTAATCAAATATGTCTAAAATGGAACAGTTTTTTGAACAACATCGCCACGAGTTTCGAGAGCCTTTGGGAAGAGGAAGGTCTAGTCGACGTAACATTGGCAAGCGATGGACAATGTCTTACAGCGCACAAAGTGATCCTCTCGGCTAGCAGTCCTTTCTTCAAGAAAGTTTTTCAGGTTAATTTTCTACGTTGTTCGTTTTACGTTTTTAACTTCCTTGATTTCTGACAATTGTCTCACCGTCGAGCAAACGTTATTATTAATCTATACTCAACTGATATAAGTCGACAGAAAATTGTATAAAGCAAATATATGTACTCTGCCTTACTCGAGGTTAACCTATTTTAAACAGTACATGTCATATTTTGAAGTTTCGATTGTACGAAATTTCGATTTTCGAAAAGAATTTTCTCTCTTGTTACAGACAAATCCCTGCCAACATCCCGTTATAATACTTCAAGATGTGCACTTCAGTGAATTGGAAGCGTTGCTTATATTTATATATAAAGGAGAAGTGAATATAGAGCAGAAAAACTTGCCAGCCCTGTTGAAAGCAGCAGAGACGTTGCAAATTCGTGGGCTTTCCGGAGGCGATATATTTGCTAAAGAATCGTACAAGAGATTAGCCGAATTGGAACAAACAGTCGAAGAAAGTGTCACAACCGTTAGGGAAGATACACCACGAAAGAAGCAGAAAGTTAATAAGCATCAACATTCTATATTAGAAACAGCGTTGACACCCAACATTTCGCAGTTGGAGGGAACCGACGAATCGGTGATCAGCGACCAAGGCAGAAAGGAAGGGGATTATCCGCTTCAGGATGACATGCTCCAGAATCCAGTTTTTCAGCGATTGGAAATGAAAGTTAGTTATTTCAGTAATGTATGCTGCAGTAAATTAGATAATAAAATAACAATCTTATTAATCGTATTTCAGATAGAACCAGTGGAGACAGCGATAGATAATTCTCAGAAACAACCTGCAACGGATAAAGATCCAGGAGAAAGGTTGGACACTGGTCAGATTGATGAGAATCAAGGTTAGTATATTAAAAATATTTACGTATCTGTAAGGAAAATTACAGAATGCAGTAAGATTGGTATTTTATTTGCAGAGTATATTTTATTTTGTTTCATTTTATGTGCTATATTTAAACGTATACTCTTCAGCGTTGCAAATTACAATTGCATTATATTATTCGTACGTGTTTCGCGCGAGCATTATATCGCAGTGCTTATCCAATGCCGTTAAAGGGTATTTGGCATATCTAAGCTTAGCATAGCAATACCTTCACCGAAGATAATCGAACTCGAAAGTCATAGTTACGTTATATCGCTAGAAATTTGATTTGTATTGCTGTTGAAATAACATACGAACGCGTTGACGGATACACTACTCACAGAATTGTGCAAGATTTTCAACGAGTCAAGCTTATATCGTTAGGAAGCATCTAATTTGATCGATTATTTTGCTCGACGTCTGCTTTGTTAACGTAACTCAGTTAGCTTTGATCGTTGTTCCGTCGTTGATCGATATTGGTCTGGCACGTATTTCTTTCTTTCGTTTCTTTTGGTTTCGCTTGATGTTCTCAGCGAATCGTTAGCGGAAACGGAAGCGCGTGCAGGTAGCAAATTGTAAAAAGAGAAATATGATCGAAGAGACTAGAGGTCAAGGAACCAGATGACGATTAGATAAAACATACAGAGAAACGTACGTAGTTTGATAGAATCATTTGGCATGTACTCGTTCGATCGAGTACACGCAGTCCTGACTTCTAGTTACTTGGGATTATTTTAGATTTTTTTTCTGATCCAGTAAAACGTACGCGTGCATGCGCGGCATAGGAGAGAAATCGAACGATACGCGATCCATCGATCGTATTAAAGAGCTAAAAAGAAAAAAAAAAACGAAAAAAATCTCGTCGAGTTTTGTTTGATTGTTCGACTGTCGCGCGTCCAGGGGGATCCGTGTCTAAAGCAGGCTGTGGTCTGATGTGTGTGGCAGGGTCTGGGAACAGCCCTGCTGAAGACATTTCCGGTTTATCTGGGTTATCCGGCCTAACTGGATTCTCGGACGTGAAGCCAATGCTGTACGCGTATGAGCAACTACCTTACGCCGATCTTCTGCCGAGTCCGGAGATTATTTCAACGTGGGCATCTTCTCGACCGATGGATCATTTGGCCTGTGACCTTATGAAGATTCTTTTTACCCCGGAGGAGAGGATTCTTTGTAACGTGAACGGCAAGATGGGGAAACAGCAGTTCGATAGTAACAAAATACATTTGATAAGGGAAGTTCTGTTGCACTTTAGCGGCATTGCACCGAACAGCGTCGAATGGGAGGAGACGTGGAAAAATTGCGTGACAAAGATCGATACTAGCAATAGGGGTTTGAAAAGGTATCTGTTCCAGAGGCGGTCGGTTTACACTCAATGACTAGGGCGTTTCAGGTCAGGGGTAAAACGTAAACGTTTCCACTGGCTGGAGTGAAATTTTTCTGTTACGCCGATCCATCGTTCTGATCGGTCATAGATCGTGTAGGATCGTCATGGAAATCGTTCTCGATGTTTCTCCGTATCCTTTCTTCTGTCGCTGAGTCGATAATCGCGAATTTTCTTGTAGAAAGAATAACACGATATAGAATAAAGAAAGGTGCGACGATGATGGGGGATTTCTGATGAGTGTACACGCATAATAATAAGGCAACTTAAAACGGACTAGAACTTAATGGACTACACGCTTTTTCGAAGAATCGATAGATAGAATCGAGAGTTTCGTAGTAAACAGCAGAATGCCTTTAAAGAAAGAGAGAGTAGGGAGACGGAAAGCGTTTCAGGCGTGGTCCAATTAACTATACGCTTCACGTTTGGCTTTCACGAGGCAAATGATCGCGCAATTTTAAATCTTTTCGTTCTTCGAGACGAACCTACCGTTGTCTTTCGTTTAATTATCGAAAGGTGTCCTTCCTTTTTCCTTTTTCTCTTGTACCTTATGTCTCGTATTTTGAGCAACGTAACATTCCTCCCTGTCGTTTCTTCACGATGTTCACGCGAATACGCACTCTTGTCGTAGACGATCTACAATAACACGTGTATACTAATATTATTACGCGTTGTGTCGTAGGGACACACGCGGGATCTGTCTTACACTCGACGGCACGGAAAGTACGTACAGTCGCGTGCATAGATACTTGGTCGGTTAAAGGGAAATCCACGTGTTACAGTTAGCTCAACGAAACTACTCTTGTCCCTTCGAAACCACGAACCGCTCAGGAAAGTGGTGAACCCTCTTTCCTTCGCTGATCAAAAGTTCTCTGTGCACGCGGTTGTGCAATCACACGCATTAACGTACGCGAGTAGTTAAATATATAGGTGTACGTATACCCGCGAACTGCAAATACCTGCAAAGTACGCGATTAAATGTAGAGAATTGCGTGTCGCGCGAAATGATAATGCGTCAGTATGATCAGGCGCGCGCGCGCGCACAAGATCGCGACTTAACGCACAGGGTGTTAAGAAAGTAATACTCGTGATTTACAGAAGTAAATTTTTAGGCGAAACCATCGCGATACTTTCAAAAAACCTTTGCAAAGAAAAGTATATTGCTAGGTTTTCTTTGCAAATGTCTGTTCCTCTGAGCTGCGATTATTAATTTTTTAACACCCTGTACATGTAAATGAGAAGTAGCTGTTATGTTGAGAGTAGTAACGTAAGTATAGGAATCCGTGGAAAATGGGAACATTTGAAACCGGACCCAAAACCGAGAGGTTCACGGTCGGCTATTCGATTCCACGATTCCTTTTATTGGGTATGGGCTCCTAATCCCACATAAAATATGCTAGTAGAGTATTTAACGCGTAAAATGTGCCGTAACGAGACTTCACGCGAATTACAGTTTTGGAAAGTTTATTTCGAACGTTTATTACCGAACGAACAAATTTGGTTTCCTCCGTTCGTTTACCGCTCTCTTTGATTTCGTTGATTGATCTCGCGGAGGGCATGATACGCTTCGAGTTAATTGTTCATTTGAATCAGATACGATTGTAGAAAAAACACACACGCGACTGGTTGCAAATAAACCTATTTTACATTTTTAATTGTCTCGTTATTTGCCGGTACTCCGTTTCCTCGTACACGCATTTTACTTTCTTTTGCATTCGTTCGTATCTTGGTAACTATGTTAAAAAATAAACTTAAAAAGTTTCGAACAAATAAACTTTGAACGTCTTAAGTTAGTCGGTATCCAAAGATACGGGTGTAAATTTGAAAGAAAACGTGTTTACGAATTCAGAAAAAATTCCTCGATCCAAGAACCTTTATCCATGCTGAATCGTCCTTTCCTTCCATTTGTCACCGACGGACCATTTGATCGAAACGCGTCGACTTTGATCGAACATAGAAAATTTGAAGTCGTAGACTGGAATTACTTGCAGGATCTTCAAAACCAACCGTAACCGTGATCGCCGATGCCCGAGAACGATCGACACCTTCGCCAGAGCCTCGAACCTCGTCTAGGCCTCCGATAACCCTCGATCGAACTCCACCTTGGAACACTTCTCGATCCATCGACGAGCTTCGGTCACCGAATCGTTCGTATTCGGAGCCAACGGTGGATCAACAGGATACAGCGAATATTTTCGTGGAACAAGATCCCAGAGTTCTGCGTTCCGTATTTCCAGCTTACGTCGGAATTGCTGGCAGTTCAGACTTGCCGGACGAGACTGTACAGGGTGCTGCTGCGTATCCACCGTTTCCCTGTCCCTTTTGCGATAGGACGTACACGAGTTGGGGATTTCGACGAAGACATATCAAAGCTGTCCACACGATCTCGCCGTCGCTTAATTGCAAATGGTGTCTGCAGGTAGGTACTCGAGATCAACAGTTCGTAGGAAATTATTTAGATCATATCGATAATCGCGAACGAGTTTACAGTAATATAGCGATTGATAAGGCGTGAACCGAGTATGATCATTTTTCAGATTCTCCCTACGCATGCGGCTTGGAGACGACACGTAATACTTGCGCACAATCTATCGGCGAACGACGCTCATAATGGTCTGCTGATCTTGGAGGAAGCGCACATGGTGCTGCAAAATGTGCGTCCTACACGGTTACACGCCTTAGTTAGTATAATCAAGCAGAATTCGCAGCAGAATAGTAATCAGGATAATCCTCGGGTTGATAAAGATTGAAATTGAATTTCGGGTTGGGTAACGAGCTTCAAGAAGTTCAAGACTTTTCTGCGCAACTTTCTTAAATGCGTATTAACGATGTAATGATCTGTTTGATAATTGCCTTAAAAGTATTATAATTTCTCTGTGATTCGTAAACGAACAAGGATATGGTTGATCGTTGTTATTTTTTAAATGTATATTCGTATAATATTGTAAATATCGCTTTTATAGTCACTGTCCGATGGCCAGTATCGCGTTTACAGGGTGCAAAGTATTTTTATTGTTATATCCGCCAAAATTTTATAAGAAAAGTAATAAAATTGTTTATCGCTATTGGTTGCTTTGAGAACATTTACGATACGAAAAATGATGGGATATGAGGGTAGAAGGATTTGCTTTCGGGATAAAAGTAGCGTAGTTTTTAACTCTTTATTGTTTAAAATTTTTGACAATCGTGCATCAGTCGGTTGAAATTTTTATAAATATTTTACTTCGTAAAAGTGAGTGGAATTTCGTGCTTTGCAAATGGAGCCAATCTTTGCAAATGGTGCAAGGTGCACTTTTTCGATGACAATTCGATTCCATCGATGAATGTGAATTGCGTGCGGCAAAGGGGTACAGAAGCATCGTTTCGAATTGGATATACGAACTTGATCGCCTTTTGATCGTTTCGTTTTTTGCGTTGTAATAACGGTGTGACATGGTAGGTACGCATGGCCGTACGAATTATCGATAAAGGTAACGGTAATTTTTTCTTCGTTTGCGAATACAGCCGTTATAAAAAAAAGGACGATGAGATACTGCGCGTCGGTAAGGAGCATTGCTAACTGTTCGAGAACATAGGCACGTTTTTGGAAATCGAATCCTTCCATGAAAAATTATTGTACATTGGACAAGAATCGCCGACATCACGGTCGCTCGAGGTACAGATAGAAATTACAAAAGAAGCGTTGTATCGTCGTGTTGTTCGTGTTCATTTAGAAAAAAAGAAAGAAAGAAGAGAGAAAAAGAAAAGTGCTAAAAATATACAATGTATGTACATATTTGTGGATAAAAAGAGTCTCTCCGAGTCAGCAACGTTGGTGGATTTTGGGCATCAATCGTTCAATTCGATCATACGAATCTTACATTTGTTTCCATCGGGACATCTACAGGTATCTTTACAAGCTTCTTTGTTCCGCTTCTTCTTTTCCTTGTTCTTCTCTTTTTACGCGACATTCGCAATTCCAACTGAATCCAGTTTTTGTATACATGGTTCGACACATAAGAAGCGTTCATCGGTTGTTTAGCCGTGTCCTTTTTCCTTTCAATCGTACAACGTTTCAATAGACGTGTTCGCATATTTATTATCGTCGTTTAAACAGTTCGAAACATCGTTCGATATCGACACGTATAGGAAAGGGTTGTTTTTCCTCCACCACACGCCCAACTTACTCATACTTCTCGCTTACGAGGGCAGAAGGTGTAGCTGAATTTCGAAATTGATCGAAAGAAGAAGGACACAGTTTGCGAATTATGCTCGAAAGAAGCGTTCGTTGTTTACAATTCGGCCACGTAGCCTTCGACAACGATTCCTGGCGCAATCTCCGCTGTGACGCTCTCCGAAGTTGTTTGGCCTCGTTGAGCCGTGTTGGACCGATCTTCTCCCCAAGCTCCTTCTTTTCCGTACTTTTCGGACATTCTTACCATCTCGTTCGGACTCCATTCGGCGGAATCTCTACGACTTCCGCCGCTTCTGTAAACAACGTTCGACTCGGTCTCACGGGTTCCACGGTATCCGGAACCTGGCAGTGGTGAAGGGGCATAGCTATCGTAGACGGGAGTACGTTTCATCGACGCTCTGTTGTGACTCGTTTTCCTCAACATCGCCTGGAACAGAGCAACGTCGACGTTACGTTTCGGGGACACGCGCCGAATGAAGTAACGCGAACGCGTTGGTAAAAAATTCACGCACCTGGAAATTGAACGGTGGTTCGTCGTCGTCGTTACCGACATTGTTATTTCTACGACCTATCATTTGCAGTTCCTGTATCGGATTGACGCTGAAAAGGACGAAGAAAAAAATGATCAGGGTAGTTTGACGAACTTTTAAAGCAGAGTATGTATTTGTAGAGTTAGCTTTATCGAACCGATTAACATTGCCGGCATTTCTGTTAATTCTGTCGTCGAACTCCCAATCGTTGCTACCGCTGTCTACGTTGCTTTTACTTCGAGCGTCTTGACCGTAATTGTCGGTGCTACGCATCGGGGGTGGTTGCGACTGATTGAACGGAATAGGCGGTGGCGGTGCGTGTTTTCTAGAGCGTATCGATCCAGTGCTATCGTAATTATTCTGAAAACACGAACGATCAAAGTATCGGTGGAAACAAAAGGTAGAGCGTAAACTCGGGGCGAGACTCGGAGCGAGAGAAGAGTAGAAGAAAGGCTGATCGATATCGTCCAACTTACTGAGCGAGGATTGTGAGCGTTAGCAGATGGTACGGGACTACGGTTGCTCGGAAGTTGTTGATACCCGGAGTTACCCATTCTGCTTCGGGCTGATTCTTCCGGTGGACATCGGACCGAGATATTTGGGTCTCTGGAAAACGGAGTGTTGATCAGACTCTGTCCCTCGGCGCCTGAATTCGCCACTCGATGTGGCGAGTTCGTTGTTTGAACCTCGACGTCTGAAAAATGCAGATCAATCCAATGGAGAGTGAGTTCTCTCCCGAGGAAAGTATTCGCCACTCGGCACAGGCAATCGAGATTTTTGTCTCGATTTTTCTCGGACCGTCGTCTCGTCGCCCCAAACGCGCACCTCTCTTAACCGTAAAACGATCATACGAAAGCGAATCTCGATCGATCGTTAGCGACGATAAATTGATTAAGTGACAATATACTCGGTGAAACACCTTCTTATTACGACTGCAAGAGAAAGAGAATCTGATGAAAATGCACCGAGTCGGACGAACTATACAGAGTGACGTGATAATCGTGCAAGCTGCCTCGAGAAAGAAATCCCTTCTAAATTCGATTGTAGCGCGATAAATGCCGCGCGTCGAGACGGTTTTGTCCCGAAACCGAAGTTCCGAATTGTGAAACGAGAAAAGTAAAATTTCTGTCGAGCCAGCTTGTACGCGGTTCTCGCGCCTAGTCTGTTTCTTGAAACGTTTCGATCGCGTACTCGCGGTTCCCGCGTTTCCGCGTACGATTCGCAATCGAGGCGCACCCTGTACGCGCGATCGTCGGACTCGGATCGGATAAAGAAAAGAAACAGAAGAGCGAGAGACTTGAAAATGTAGGATAAACGTATGTATGTTCCTGCATGAATAGTGGCGTACGATCGGGTATCGGTATCGATGCGGCTCGACGGGAATGAAACAAAATGTGATAGGCACCTCTGGTACGAGTGTTCCTGTTGGCCCAAGGCACCGTTTGTCTCCGTAATGGCGCGTCCCAGGCTTCGTGCTCGTCGTCAGACGCCGATGACGACGCGGATCTGCGAGAACGTATTTCTCAGTTGACGCCACAAGTCTCCGCAGAGATTCTTAAGCGGCTCTTAAACTCGATAGAGACGGCACACACAACGAGAAAGGAGAGCGTGACTTGTTGCGCAGTTTAACAAAATAATAGAGAGAAAAAAAAAGAAAAAGAAAAGTGCAACACGTGGAAGCGCGCGACAATAGGACAAAAAAAGCAAAAGACGTCGATTACAACGACGCGTTTACGCGTCACGGGCTACACGAGGCTCTCTCCGTCGTGTAGCTGTTCCGTTATTATTTTAGTTTTCTTTCTATTCCGTGGACAGTATTACGAGTAGGGGGAAACACGGACACAAGACACGGAGGACTAACTACGCACACGATACGATATTTAAATGGTGGATGACGTCTAACGATGAGGATCGAAACTAATCAACGAATCAGGACGGTTGTCGTCTAAGTTTTCTCTCCGGTCGATTTGGGCCCACTAGCGAAACCCCTCGTTTCTTTACGTCTACCACTAACGCAATAAAGACACTCACGATAGAAGTCACGTAAAATCGACTCACCCGAAACCTTTCATCCCCGCGTTGCCGCTCGTGAAAGGTAAGTCGCTATAAAAGTTGAAAGGGAGCTTGTGCACTTGAGGTGGTCTCATCTGGCCCAAGTATCCGGACGCGGAAACTTTCGAGTCGATCTTCTCTATCGATATTTGATTATTGGTCTTCTCCAGACTCGCCACTATCGCTTGATTGAATAGATGAACCTGTTCGGCGAAACGACAGAGTGCCGTGATAAACAATGGCCGCATCGGGGTTAAACACGGCAAACAAGGCTTACTTGTTGCGAGAATTGCACGAGGTCTTGATAGCGGGCTGCACGGTAACGTAGGAGGACTTGGAATATACTCTTCGATCTCCATTTGCTGCTGTAAAACTTCATCATGTCCATCTTCTCCGGATCTATCTGGCCCTTCCCAAGTTGGGGTGCCATTTCCTTCCTCACTGCATGACCCCTGTATGCTGTATCATTTGAGCAGATTACATATTTAGTCATATCTTTCTGTTTATGGAACAGTAACGAGTACGATGGAACGTGCGATGAAAATGACTTGCTACGCTATTAGGCTCGTCAAAAATCAAATTCCTCTCTTTCCATTAATTACTTTCCGTCCGTCCTACCTTTCTGAATCATTACCGCTGCCTGATCTTCCGACAATTCCACCGATGGTTTCTTCTTTAAAGACGCTTGCTTCACTGAAACAATTCCTGTTAAATTTCTTGTAACCAATGGAAAACGTACGAGCCTTACGACGATAAAAACCAAAAAAACGGAGAAATGAAACGAATAATGAAGCCGGCTCGTACCCAATGTTCTCTCGTTCTTCGTAAATCGAATTACCTACCGACTTCTTTCTTCACGGTCGAGGTGATTTTCGATGCCATGTTCTTACGCGCTAGAAAGGCCCTCATCATACACTGAACCTTTACAATCTTTTTCACCTGCGTCTCGTACAAGCGCGATAGGTATTCCTCGTTGTAATACTTTAGAAACACTTTCGTTTTCCCGATCATCCAACCTTCCATTTTCAATCGGACCAATAACAGTCGGCAGTTATCTTTGGTGATTTCAACGTTTTCGTCGAAATCGAACGCTAAGAATTGATACCTAAACATAAGCGACACAACAACAATAACGATCGAGATACTCTTTTCGAATAATCGTTGTACGAGTAATCTACCTTCGAAGAAACTCTTGGAAGCGTATTCTGTGCGGGTAGCCACGTTGTCTGGCTTTGGCAGTGTCTAGAATAGCCAACGCTCTGATTTGTTGTCTAACAACCTCGCGGTAAAAGCCACGAGGCGCCCCTTCGAGATCGGATCTGACGCACCTGATGAAATGGATACCACCACTTCCGCCACCTGCCGAAAGGTTCTTAAGGATTTCAAGGCTGGTGGATTTAAATGTAGCCGCGCACGTTCTCATTTTCCGTGTCTGCGAGTATTGCCCTCGGGATGCGGTGTTAAATCTCTGTTTGTAAAATAATAATCGCGAAGTGATCATATTTTTTCCACTGTAATTCGTTACGTTTCACCGCGAGAGATCTCCTTTTCTTTTTTGTCTACACGGCAAAGGGATATAAACAAGTAATTTTATCGCCTAATCGTTAGTCCTCGATATCGATAATATCGATCTAATAATTTCACAGGAACAAGGTGCGAATAGACGAAAATTCGAGTTTTCTCACCTTCGGTTTCGACGTTTCCTGCATGAGCGCGCCCCACTTTCCTTTGCTCGTCTTCTTATCGGCGACCTTCGGATGTTCGACGACGATGGTCAGATTTCCGGTCTTCGTCAGTTTGTTCGTGAACATTTCCTTCACGGGTTCGATGCTCGATAGCCTGAGAGTCTCGATCATCTCTGGCGACACGAAGTCACGATTCTTCTCGGCGATTTCGCTGGCGTCGTAAATCAATTTTCCCGTATAATGAGCAACGGTGAACTCGTGAGCGCTTGCCGGTTTTACGTAAACGTTGCCCGATCGTTCTTCTATTTTATTCATTACGTACTGATAATCCATCATGTGTTTCGACGCTTCGTCGATCAAAGTGAACAAACCTCTGTCCTTGCTCAACAGATGATCTATCGCATCCTTGTTATCGTAAAAATGTAAACGCTGCACGGGTATGTCTTCTTCCTCTTGTTCTTGCTACGAATCAACGTCGTTGCGATAATGCATTCTCTCGAGATCGTCACCCTCTATCGAACACTTACCATTTCCCAGGCGAATATCCTCTGATTGTAATAACACTGCATCTGTTCGTTCATCGTGTTCACTATCAGCTGCTCCAATCGGTTCACCGCGAAACACTCGAATCCGAACATGTCCATCACGCTGATCCCGTATTTGTCTCCGCTGAAAAATAAAAGGATCTTGACGCGTTCGTTAAAGCCACCGGTACATCGGCAAACGATGACAAAGATATTTGCATACACTACGTGTTTCATTTGAGAACTTACAACAAAGTACGAGTAACCGTGAACTTCTGATTGATGGTGTTTATTATCCAGTCTACCAATCTCTGGTAGAGCGTGTTGGCTAAGACGTCTCTTGCTTCTTTCGCTTCGTCGCAGGAGTATTTTTTGCGTACCACGGCGCCACCGCTGATTATGCAGTAGTTCAGCAATGACCAAACAAACTTCTTTTCGTCCAGATTGAGCAGTTGAGCCACTGGAGTGCGAGCAAACGTTCGTTTGTCAGTTTCAACATTTCACAATCGATTCGTTCTGTCCATTAGATCGTACCTCTGTTAGCAGCGTCGTGATTATCCATGTCAGCTTCTCCGTTGTTACCTTCGACGAATCGAACCTCTCCTAAACACAAAATCGCCGCCAAAGTTTTCCAGATCGTCTCGCAATATTCTTCCATCTCTAAGATTTTCAGATTTTCCCTCAGCTCTTCGAACTTCGTTACGTTCCCGCGTGGATCGTTCCTAACTTTGAACGATCGCTTTCGTTCCGTTCCCTTTTCGCTGATTCGAAGATATCGCATCCTTCTTCCAGACGATAGATTATACTGTTTCAATTTGTTCGTGACGTCGAGACCGTCGTAAAAATAGTAGAACACGTGAAAATTCGATTGGTTTCTGTTGGGAACATATCGAAAGCGTGACTGGCGTGTCGATTCGAGAAACTTAATAAATTAACCCTTTGCACTCGGGACGTAAATCGAACGCGATGACGAAAGACTACCGAACAATTTGAATTGCTGTCAGTATTGCGCTCCGTTTTGCGTCTAAGGTTTGGACCTACGTTAAGCCGTCGATCTACTTATGCAAGGTTGGTAAAAAACGTTCGTTCGCTCTAACTACTTGCGGTAAAAGATTGATCGAAGCAGACGAAGTACATACTACGAACCTAGCTACCACGATACGCGTCCGTTAGAACGATCGGGAAGTGAAACCTTGTTCTTAGCGGCGAGTTGTTAGAGTACAAAGGGTTAAAAGTTACACCGCGACCTCGAGATTCGTACGGACGAATCGGTAATTTTGATTGCACGGAATCGATTCAGATATCGCGAACGTAACCGTACAGCCACTCGGAAAATCTACCTGTCGCGAGTAGAAACGCGCCACTTTTCAAGCTGATACAACCAGAATATACCGCCTGATGCTTTGCCGGAAGATCCGTAGGTGGTTTGCACTTGGAACACGCATCTGGTCGAGTTAGGATTTAACGGTGTGGCGGCGTTGCAAAACGCGTGAAGCACTTTTATGGCTCTCATCAGTCTAGCTCCTGTATCTTGCAGGCTCTGAAGTTCAACGAAAGTTCTATTTACGTGGCGAATCGTTTAAGCGATGTTCGTTCAACTTACTTTCCCCAGATACATGAGATGCTGAATCAGATGCATCATGTTCGTCGTTTTCCCCGAATTACTCTCTCCGGCCAATAGAATGTGTTGAGGCTCGTCGTTGTGCAGCACGTCCTGAAAAGCGCTATCCGCTACCGAGTATACGTGAGGCGCGTTATCCGATCGCGATTTAAACTGATACTTTGTGTGATACTGCAGGAAAATGGTAGATGGTTAGCGAGGTTGATCGACGAGAATCGAAAGGATCGATAAAGTGATCGATACTCACGTCGGATCCATAAATGTCCTGTTTTTCGTTCGGATTTAGAATCAATAGAATGTCACCGATGAAACTGTGATAGTAACCTTGCCGCAATCTGTCGTGCAGTTCGTCCAAAATCGCGTCTTCCGTGAGCGTCTCGAGTGCCGCGAGATCTTCCATGAACATAGGCTCAAGAGGATCCGTTTGGTGGGTCTGAATCACGAAGAAGAAACGAAAAGATCGTATATCCGGTAAATACAGATGTTTGTTCAAGATTATTACCTTGAGGAAACCTTTTCGAACTATCACTTCCGGTCTCCTCTCCTGTTTACCTTTCGTACCCGCGTCCATCATCAGTACCTTGATCTCTTTCGTCATCTGCAAATATCGTTGTCGTTTTTCTTTTTACGTTCGTATCGTCCGCTTGTTCTGCCAAATTGTCGTAACTTACCAAAAAATCGTTCTCGGGTATATCCGCTAGAAAAGGATGTTCGGCTATTTCCGCCATGAAAGGTCTGTTGTCTGGATTCTTCTCGAGACACCTAAAAGTAGAAGTGCAAGGATTCGAACGATATCAGTCTCGATAACGGATCATGCACGCGTACTCGAATACGTACTCGGCGATGAAGTCGTTGAAATTTTGCGACCAATTCGACGGCCTGTACAAATTTGGCGGTGGATTGCGAACGATTTGGAACAACGCCCTGGTCGGATGCATGTCTTGAAACGGTGGTTTACCATCGGCCAATTCGATCGCGGTGATTCCGATCGCCCACACGTCCGCGCGGTTTCCGTAACCAGCGTCGGAAGTGTTCCCTTTGCTCGCTGCGACTTCCGGTGCCATCCAACACGGCGAACCGATACACGTGTACCGTTTGCCCATTTCGCCTTTCACGGTTCTCGACAATCCGAAATCGACCAACTTCACTTCGCCCTCTTTCGTCAACAAAATATTGCTGCCACGAATGTCGCGGTGCATCACGTTGTTCTCGTGCAGAAACGCCATCGCCTGGTAAAAAGAAAAAATGCTGGTTCACCGTGTAGTCTACGCGGTCTACGGAGGCAGAGAAAGAGAGAGGGGAATCGGAATAGCAGGTTCGGTAAGCCTTTACGCTTTCCTCTAGGCACGATTTCGTCGGCGGTAGACAGCGGTGGCTCGTTTTCTTCGCGAGCATTTATTTCGCGTGTAATTTGCCGGCATTAAACGTCAACGTGGCCTGATTTACCGCACGAGCGACCGTGGACGAATCGCTACTGGGACCATGGAACACGTAGCAACGAGAACAAGAAGACGAAGAGAAGAAGGGGTTGTTGCGTGCGCTTTACGAGAAAGGATAGCGAGACAGGGAGAAAGGGACGCTCGAAAAATGGTCCCGCGAATATCGCTGCCTATCGAACGAAAACGCGACGGTCGATGAAGTTATTCCAAGTTTTTCGCACGATTTCGAAAGAAGTTCGAGAGGGATCGGGTTTCCGAGGTTCCCACGGCGCGGATAATTAGCAGAACCCATCGATTTTACGCGATCCCAGCGTTTTTGCCGCGAAGAGAAATCGAGCCGCGAACCGCTACGCCGCACCGAGTCTACGGAACGGAAGGGAAACGGTACACGATTCGAAACGGAAACGCGCGTTTTATCTTCGATGCCGATGCAAGTTGCAGCAACGTTTGACGAGCAAATGACACCCGTCCACTTCGCTCTCCACCACTGGTTTTTCCTTAATCGTTTCCTTTCTGTTTCTTGCCATTCCGTCGTTCCTTTCTGTTTCCGCGGACTCGTTCGAAACGGATTCGTACAGATCGATCCCGTGAAACGAGGCACGAAAGGTAAGATAGCATACAATTATACAAGGTGGTCCAGCTTTTTATCGCTACGATGACCTAGTATTTTCCGCGAGCAGAAACGAGGCAAGAACGTTACATAAACGCACGTTTATTCGAGTAATCGACCGTGTAAGAATATATCGAGCATCGACATTTTTACCTTCGTGAACCTTCGAACGAACCTTGTTTCGTTTCAGCGCGATTTCAAACGAGTTCGATTGATCGTTCGAGATGTACCTGAATCACTTCTCTCAAGATGAAACCGATGTGTTCTTCGCGCATTTTTCTGTCCATGGCTAAAAGTCCGTGAACGAGGTCCATCACAGTTCCACCGTCGCAAAGCTGAAAATTACACAACGAGAACAATAATTATCCGTTCGTGGTATATGCTGGTACAAGAGCCGTATTATAATGATAGTACGCGAAAGTAATTTTCGATTTGCATTGCTTCTTCCTCTCGTCTCCTCCCGCCGATGGCTTAGTATTGCCCATAAAATTGCGGAAGTAATCTAAATCGACTACCCGGAGCGGAGTTCGATATTCCCCGTACCATGATTTTGCGTAATTACTCGTCATTTCTGTATCTTGACCTTACCGTTCTTATCTCTATCTCTTGATACGATTATAGTACCATACGAGTATAGTAGCGCGAAAGCTCGAACTCTTCTCGTACCTCCGATGGACGCATTTGGCAGAAGCTTCGAAGAGACGGAGCAAGCACGCGATACATGCCCTTGGATGCATTCTTTCGAGCAAAGGTGCTTCGGCTGCGGCACGAAAAGTTGCTCTACTGGCAAACAGTTTGCGTATACGTGCCCGTTAAACTCGCTCGCGATACGATATGAAATACCATCGGCGATAAATCTTGACCACATTGTCGTTGCGTGTCGTACCTCCTTTTACAACCCGCCTCTTGGCTTCCCTTTTTCTTCCTCGTGCTACTCTTACCTGCCCGAACGTTTACAGAACTTTTTGCTGGAATCGATTGACTCGCAAAATCGTTGTTACTTTCTTTGTTACTCACAGTTATCGTATACCCGTTTCTTTGCCGCGTTCTTCGTCTTTCAAGATCGAACCACTCTACCGCTCTATTAACACCTTGACGTTTTTAAAGATCGGCCCATAAAGGTTCGATCGTTGCTTCGTGCATATATCGTTTCCAGAGAACGATACCAATTTCTATCGAGCTATATTACTCGTCTTTCTTCGTTGTCGAGTTTAGGCGCGTTTCCAAGAGAATCGGAAGCGTGCACGCGTTCGCGTTAAACGAAACATCGACGCTTTTGCTCGAGATAAGTAATAATATTTCGAGCTCACCGCGGAGGTCCACCCGTAAATTAGGTACGCGACGTGCCAGGGCTCACCTGCGTACACGAACGAGTTTAATGATTGTTTAATGGCCGCGCGTGTCGTAAATTATCCGTGTATTCGACCGTCTCAAATGCTTGAAATTGCCTCCGGGTCCTGGCATGGCTACGTACAGCAACTCTTCCCTTCGACGTTGCCTTCGTTTTCTCTTTTTTCCCTTTCTCCCCGTTCTCCCTCCGCCCCCATTCTTCACAATCCCACACTCTTGTACCCTGTCTGTTCTCGATCTCTCAACTTTTCTTTCTTTTTCTTCTCGAGGAATTACGATGTTAAAGGAGTGGCTGTTTTACCTATAGTTCTTGAAATCTTCGTATACGAACGTTCCGTAGGTCCGTCGATAGCGAGCGAAAGGTACGGTACTCGTCGACGTGTTTACAGTTAACCAGGATTAGGTCCGTAAAAATTCTTCGTTGTTCGAGTATCGAGCCGATTATGATTTCGACTTACCTCCATAACGAACCATATCTGATCGTACTCGGTCTTCTTGCCGGATCTTCTGCGATAGATTCCGTAAAAGTCGGGCAGATTAGGGTGAGACGCGAAATCTCGAAGGACTTTGTACTCTTCTATGATCAGAGACTGCGATTCAGGCGTGAGCTTTTGCACCTTTACCGCGACCCTCTTGTTTCCTGTAGAAAGCATAAACCACAAGATTACGTTACGAGGGTTGGGTTATGTTAGAGGAGGAAGGAAAAAGCTTTTTGTAGGTACACTGTTCGATAAGGTTTCGGACGGTCCGCGCTCGGAAAACCGCTCCTGACGGATAATTTGCTCGTGAGCGAGATAATCGAACGAAGGTATCGTAAAGTCGATCGTTACCGTACCTGCTTGCTGATCAATGGCTTCGTAAACGTCCCCGCATACACCGGATCCTATGCACTCTCTGAGAAGATAACGTTTTCCAGGATCTTGAATACTATCGAGACGCTGGAGAGTACTTCGTCCTCGATCCTCGTAATCGTCGTCGTCGCCTCGACTCCCTGAACGTCTGGAATCTGATCCACCCCTTCTGCCGTATCCGTAATCGCTCATTTTCGATCGTTCTTCTCGTTACCTTAAAAACGTCGACACACTAATTCGATCCGAGCTTTTCGAAAATCGAAAAGACACGCAACGACATCGGTGGCTGCGAACGCGTTAAAATCTATAAAGAAAAGTTCGCGTAGTCGTTTTTAGGAAATTTTCACGCGCAAATTGTTAGCGCGAGTCGCTATAAAAACGGGTGAAAGCGAGAGGAAAAATTGTACCGTTTCGAGTAGCGGAATAATTGGATGTTCGATAGAAACGAGACGAATATCTGTTGCGAGAGACAACAAAGCGTAAAGAAAAAAAAAGAAAAGAAAGAAGAAAGCAAAGCGCGAAAATAAAATTTAAACGATTCGGATTGAGCCGCATCGAGTGAAAATAGATTAAAAACTGTCAATGTTCCCTCTATTCCTCGATGAAAGCCGATAACAAAAAGTTCATTAATTTTGTTCTCGTTTCCGGAACAGAGTGGATAGAGACCGGGACACGAAGAGGTCGTCGCGTACGCTCTTCACGCTCGCGAGGAAAAGCAGGACCTCTTTCCATCCGTTCGAACGTGGAGAGTAGAGAAGGTCGAGAATGACTCTTCGGGAGCGAATGCTCTACGGATTTTTTTACGAGAGGCCAGGTTCGGCCGGTCGAGGGTTTCACGGCACATCGGTACAAAGGTGAGTGCTAATTATATTCTTTCTCGAGTGGCGCGTGAACGAGTGGTAATCGCTAATTAGTAGCTAGGCTTCCTGAAAGCTTCTACGAGGGAAGAGCCACCGGATGATTCCGTTGGATATCTCGTTTCGCTTTCGACGAATTCGAATTTACCAATTTTCTTCTGTCAGGTTCGTTGGTCGTTTATCGAAACGAGCTTTTATTCGCGTTCCTTCGTTTCGTCGGTTTAGAAAGTTCACGACCGGTGCAGACCAGCGAGTACGTAATACGTAGCCTCTATCGACTCGATCGCCGGGTAATACCGCGACGCGCGAGTATGACAGAACTTGCGGGATTTCTGTGGCTTTCCGTGTCAAACTTATCGACGAGCGTGCTAACGAAGAATTATAGAAAATTATCAAATTCGTCGTTCCTTCGACGATCTTCTAGTAAGAATCGAAACGATTTCACGTATCTCGTTCAATTATTTATCAGAAAAGATGACAAGAGAAAATTATTCGTATCTTTGTTCTTCGAAAAATTTCTTTCGATCGAATCGAACGACGCGACGCAGGAACCATAATTTCGGTGATCTGCATGGAACGTTTTATCGAAGCGAAAAACGAAGAAAAACCGACAGAATCGATTGGCAAGCGCCAGTTGTATCTTTCGTTTTACCATCCCGTGTCCCTGCTGGGTACTTGTAGGGCTGCGGAAACGTTGCAGGGTAATACATATCCCATTTATCGGATCCCACGGATTGCGTAAGAGTATTTAATGAGTTACGCGAGTCCGTGGGTAACGGCTGGTTCGCTTAACCGCTTTACCAAAGACACGGCCCGATCGATGCGGTTCTACTTTCGTAGACCTCTCCCGAGGACCTCTTCTTCTTTTTCTTCGCGTACCCGTTATCGCGACAACGCAGTTGATAAGCTTCGTTGGCACGAAAACGCTCGTGCCAAGTGTCCTCGTTATTGGATGGTTAGCGTCGCTCTCGTAATCCTTTCGATGGAATCATTTGACAAGATTTTTCGGGTTAACGATACGCGTTTAACATTTATTAACCTTCTCGTTAAGGCTCCGATCCCGAACAGATCTTTCTTTACGAAAGTAAATAATTTTCTCGGAATAATAGGAGATAAAGGTTCGAGCGATCCACGAGAAAGACGCGTAAACACGAGGAGCAAAATCTGTTTAAACGCGACGAAAAGAGGAGGACTTTCTCTCGGTCGTCGATGCCGAAGAAATCCGATGGTTCCACGGTGTCGTTCGAATCTCCTTGGTCTGATCTGGCAGACTAGAGAAGAGAAAAGCCGAGGTAAGTCTGGAAAGGAGAAGAGAAGGGCGAGAAACGAGAGGATTCGCGTCGTTAGCCAATTCATTTATTCCCGGTGGGTCGGCGCTCGTCCGGCATAATCCGTCGATTTGTCGGCGCGGCGTGTCTCGTGTAATGCTGCTTCTTGCCTCTTGTAATCGAACAGGGAAAGGGTGAGGGATAAAAGAGAAAGAAAGAAAGAGGGAAGGAGAGAGAGAGGGTGACGCGTCACTGACTATATGTGAACGAACGAACGTAAGAAACTCGAGTTGATCCACGATGTCCACACGGTGTTTCTCTTCTCTGTCAGTTTCCTCGGTTACGTCTCGCGAACGGACACCGGTCTTCTTCCTCCTACTCGCGCGTCTTGTTCCTTTTCCTGTTGGCGTTGAGCCGTGCAGGTTTATCGGTAAGTCAGGGCGTTAAATTATTGATGCCCGACCGCGCGTCGCGAGAAGACGAACGAGAAGAAAAGAGGGAGAGGAGCGGGGTGGTAAGGACGGGTCCCGTGATTTCAGAAAAAGCTTTCCGTGCCACTCGGTCCATCGGTTCTTTCTCTTCGTCTCGGTCGAGCGTCGGCTCGCGTCGTCTCTCTTCGTCGTTGTCCTTGCTCGTCGCGTCTCGTCCAGGGTACGAGCTCTTTAAAAGGGAAGAAGCGGGCGACGAAACGGCCGTTGTGGGAAAGTTTCGTCCAAGAAGAAGCGAACGGGCGCTGCCGAATAGATCTCCGTTCTCCGCTGTTCGATAAGACGAATAGATTCGCCGCTGTTCGATAAGACGAAGCGAAGACGCGCGCGACGGGTTAGAAAGTCTCGAAATCGGTTGTGGGAAAGTTGACGTTCGGTCGTTCGACGGTTGGAAGAACGGTCCCCGGGCGGAATG